TTGCTCATTTAAATGCCACATGATTATCAAGTCAGAATCTCAGGCTTTCTTTTTTCAGAATAAAGTTCCTATTCTGCACTATTTAGGTAGCAAAGATGATAACATGGCTCCCAAAATATGACAGGAAGAAGCAGAGTCTCTTTTCCAAATCTCTTCTTTAATGCATTCTGATGACTAATGGTGCAACATTTGAAATGTAAGGAAAAACATCTGGTATCAAAAAGGGGGAAAAATCATGAGACTTTTTTTTTAGAAGGTAAAACACGTTTTTCTTTTCAATTTGTAAGAGAAAGCGAGTTCATAGCATTATTAGAAATAAAAGCAAAGAACTTTAAACTTTCTAACAGGTGGGAATAATTTACATTTTATTTGTAAGCTGAATATTAATTATCCTATCTATTCATATGTGCTACAGAGCGAAGATAATTTTCTGTCCAGTTTGGTAGGGGTGGGGACACATTAGAGTGTGATCTGGGATCTGCATGGCTTTCTTGTTTTTCTCCCTCCCTTGACTAACAACCTCTTTCAAGGGTTACCAAACCACTCTGCCAGGCATAAGAAAAAAAAAGTCATTTTACTAATGCATATAAAATACTTCAAAACACAGCTTACTAGTATAAAGCCTCTGAAAAGCTGTGGGTCAGCTATGGTCGGTTCCAACTCGATGGGACACAACAATAGCTAGTATAAAAGGAAGCCCTGGTGGCATCATTCAGGGAGTTGGGCTGTTCACTTAGAGGCAGCCAATTTGCATTATCAGCACCTCCATGGGAGAAGGATGGGCAAATCCTCTTGTGTGATACACAGTCTCTGAAAACCCACTGGAGGGCTGGTCCGCTGTGAGTTGGCTGTCTAGTGGGCAATGAGTGTCAGTGTGAATGAGGGCAAGAAGTTTTTCTTCCTTAGCTTAAAAGGTTATACAGAAAAACAGAAAGGGGGGAATCTCATGCAACCCTAAAATGCAATCCCAAATGTCCTCTTCTTGGTTCTTAAGCTTGTGTTTGTTTTCCTAAGTCTTTAAAGACGAAGGGCATGTGAGCTGCTCTGCTTTTCTTAGTGGGAGGGGTTGTCACTTCTATTCACAGCTGAGGGGTGGGAAGAACTTAGAACTGTTGAAGAAAATGTTGACATTTCAAAATGCACAGAAGCCAGATAAATCATAGTTATGGTTCCTCAAGAGGTAAAAACCCCATTTCATATGGAATCTATCATTCTAAGTTTCTTGATAATGTATATTTAAAATTTTATTTCAAAATTGAGAAGTAACTGATATATTTCCTTACATGTGCGAGCACTTGTGGTTATGCCACCACTGTTGTTAAGTGCTGAGTCAGAACCAACTCCTACCTGACTCTTCAGCAGGTTTTCAGAGTGTTTCAGACTGTCCATCTTTCTCTCTTGGAGCAGCTAGTGGATCCAAACAAGTCTTTATCCCCTAGGTCATCAGAGCACCAATAATAGAACTGCTAAATATCTAAATCTGGCATATCAGTTCGACAAACCATTAAATAATAGTAATAAGGTTACATTTATCTTTAGATTCACCAACTCTAGTGTGTGTGCATTTTCTCCAGGGGCGCTGATTGATATGCATGGATCCTCTCACACCTCCCCACATGAATGCCATGCTATTCACACGTATGTACCTTGTGCAAACTCAAAGTATGCAATTCAGTAGTGAAGTCCGTGGTTCGGCAAAGCTAACTGATATGTGTAAACCACTGACATTAGCATAGCTTTAAGCCCTAATCACTATCCATTGTGAGTCAAAATATTCTATTTTGTGTTAAAGCAGAGATTCCTATATCCATGGAATGTCTGAGTAAGGCAATAACGTCACAAATTTAAATGAACTGGCAATCTTTTCCTGTTCTCAAGCCTTTTGTTTTAAGTAATTCCTCCTTTCTAAAATAAGGGAGAGTCAAAATGTTTACACTGCTTTCTGGCATGATTCTTTAGTAACCTAAGCAAAGTGTAAGGAGATGGAAAAACAATAATTTGCATACTATAATCTATTAGAGATTAAAATACATGAAAACAAGAAATTATTCTTAAAACACTATCCTAGCATGGATGACTATTGTGACTGATTATACTTCTTGAATGTAAAATTAAACCCAGATGAACCAATCATACAATCTCTTCACCCAATTTAAATCTTACAGTTGATCCTTCTCATTAAAAATATCAGATTATTAAAATGAGTAAATTGAATGAAATAGACTTCTGGAGATGAATTGTTTTATCCAAATTCATGAGTAACCTGAGCTGAGATCAAACCTAAAAGCATTTTAAAAACTATTTTCTCAACCTCTTTCAGGTAAGATAACATGGGTTTTGAAGATAGAATGACCTGCCTTTAAATCTTAGCTGGGCCTCTTTCTAGCTGTGAATTCACTCAGCTGTAAATGTTATCCACCTAAAATTAGGTTAATACCACCTACCTTGCAGAATTGAGAAATTTCCTGAATATGGCTGACCATTAGTAAATGGTACTTATTATTGTTGTTATAGAAAGAGAAGAGGAAGATACTGATTATATATTTGATATTATTCACAAAGTTCTGTGTTAATTATATAATGTAACCTCAGCAAAATCACTAGTGCATGACATTTCTCCCAAGTGATTTACCTGTATTAACATTTAATACTCAAAACAGCCTAATTTATCATCATCATTTTCCAAACAAGGAAACTGAGGTGCAGGAAGGTTAAGTTCAAGGTCATACTGTACAGTCAAGATTTAAATCCTGACAACATGACTGCAGAGCTTACCTTTTGACCACTTTATTGCAGAGCCTTAAAATAACACCACTGTGAGATAAGAGCCATTTACTCAACACATACGTATTGGATACATACAATGTGTTAACATTCGTGCAAGGTATTAGTATCCAAAATTTTATCCTGGCACATAATATGTATTCTTTAATGGATGTACAATATGGATACTACAAGCAATTATACTGCCTCAAAGATAAAGCTCAAAAATAATATTTCTCTGGATTTATAAAGTCTTCTTTGTATTACTGTTGTTTAATAGCAATATAATTCTAAGAATTATAGCTAAACTATGATTTACTTATAGAACAATTCAATGCTTCTATACATTCTAAAGAAACGTAACTAAAAGTCTCACTGTATTCTGTTCATTTTTTTATGTCAACATCTTTTAAGGATGAAAAAATATTTTCAGTAATTGTTTATATCTACCACAGTGGTACAAAAATGGGTCAAAAAGAATTTTGGCTCAATAACAATACCGTTAAGTTTGATAAAAAAGTAGATCTATGTTAAAGATAACTGAGGACAGTAGCAAACCAGGTAAAAAACTCTGATTTAGATGCACAATAATGCTGACTAGCTCTCTAGCTCTCCTGCCTCTATTCTGTCTTTTCCCTCCTCAACCTCCTCTGATAGTCTCAACCTTTATTTCCCACTCTTTCAAATGCACAAATAGTAAAGTAAGCAGGTTACTCGCTCCCTGAAAATATTTTATGAGTTTTAAGAAGAGGAAAAGTAATTAAGTTATAAAAACCAGAAAGCAATTGTGACTAACATATACAGAAAATAATGTGCTCTTTTAATATTACTCTTATTGCCATTTTAGTCCCTTTTTGTTTCAAAGACCTGCACTACTGTATACTACTAAATAATGATGTAAATTAAAACTGGACCAATAGTGTAAGAGCAGTAAGTTCTGTCTCTTATCCTCTTTAAGTGAAAATGGGATATTCAAGAAGCCAAGTGAGCTAGTAAAAGAAACAGAATAATTATCAGCTCAGCTCCAGTGCAGGTTATTCTGAAGAATAATGATTCCCCCCTCCCCCGCCAATTTTGTAATAAAAATTACAAAAGGATCAAAGAGCACTTTGCTACACGAAAATTGAATGGAAAAGATGCTCTGATGCACCTTTTAACAAGCCTCCAGTATGTGCTTAGCATAGAACTATTGGTTTTATTTGTAAGAACAGTGCAGACATGAATGACATTTCCCAGGTACCCTTTACAAAAGGGCACACAGTGCTCACCTGAGTCTGTATGTCTTCTGGCAACCCCTGGCATATGGCTGAAACTTGCAGGAATTCCCCCCGTTTTGGTTATTTCCTGTCCCTCCTTTTTATTGATTGTCTGCAATTCCCTCAGATAAAAACTTGCATCCTTTATATTTTGAAGTTTATTTAGTGCTGTTGTGGGAATTTAACCTTTTTTTTTTTTTTTTAAGAAGCAGTCTGAAGGTCCCTTATAGTCAGGTTTCTGGTGCTCTGATTAAATCTCTCACTTGATTATGTACAGAACACTTTTACATTTGCTTTTTACTTTGCTTTGTTAACTTGAAACTTCCTGAAGAAAGCTGTAGAGTAGCATCTTGTAGAATTATTGCCTAATAACTGGTATTTCACTTATACGATGCCTTATTGTGGGTAGATGCCTTATAGCCAACATTCCAATGTCCTGTTCCTTCTTGATTCAGTCATTATATGAGACGACACCAACGATTTTTTTTAAGTAAAAGAAATATATTAATATTGTGACTCATTTCACCTCCTCAGATTTCCAGGCTTAACTTCATTTGTGCGGTTTATTCAAACTGTGGCTTTCCTTATGAAATCATGTAAGTAGAAACCATCTGGAAAGGTTACTGTGGAAACGGCAGGGGCTGGGGGTGGGGCCAGAGAGCAAGAGATGCCATGACAACCTTTTTCGGGTTTCCCAGGAAACCTGGGTTGCTATGGGAACTGCATCAGTCAGGTCCGAATTAGTAACTTCCGCTGGAAGGGGTGTCTGCCACTTTAATCTTCTTGTGATACTGCAGAAGCTTATCTCTCAGATGCATTAGGAAAAATTTTTTTGTTTGTTTCTCTCACCAGCTCTGAAACCATCTGTTCTAGACTTTGATAGGTGTTGGCTGGGACAAACGCATACAACTTCTTCATGGGAAATAACTCTTTAAACTAATACTTCTGAAATGCTTAACAAAGCTGGACGAGTTAAACTAGTCAGATCAGGACAACTTAGGTATTTCCCTTTGTTCAAAGTTGTAGAGACTCTTGAAATTTCTGGAGAAGGAAATTCAAATGGAAATTCCAGCTAAAATCAAACAAACTTATCTTGGGTTTAGACATAATTGTTCTAATTATACATTCCATCCACGTATCCACAGTACAGACAATTGAGCTAAATATTTGGTAAGTCATGTTGGAAGGTGCACCCAACTAAAGCATCATTTGAACACCTGTCTGCTTTACTTGGTAAAGCATAACAGCCTTTTAATTTTGAGGTTAAACGGTAACTCTGCTTTGCAGTTTCATTTCCCCCCAGGATGTACTGTTTTTTTGTTTTCACTAGGGTAGTGTTCTAGAAAGCAAGTTTAAAGTAACCATTTGTCGTTCTACTATTAAAGGGGAGGGGAAGAGCTGAGAGAATGCAGCCCACTTGCAAAACAGACACTTGTTTCAGTATGAAGCAGTAAGGGAAGGGAGAATGAAGTGCACTTTCCACTTCCTAGTGTTCTTTTCCTTGATGAATGGTCTGGAAATGTATAAAACAAGGGCATACACAGACCACGGGGGCACATTCCACACAATACTGAGCACAGTATGTCACTTGTATCATATATTACACGTCGGTGAATATCTTCTTGATGTTGACACACGAGTTGGGATTATTGTTCGTGGTGCAGGTGGCAGTGGAATTGCCCGTCTTGAAAGGAGTCTGGGGGAAGGTGCTATGGTTCATACCCCCCTCTTCGATCACCATGTACTCTGACTTACTCAGCGTCGAGTTACTCCTTGCTTTTCGTAGCTCCTCGGCTGAAGGGGAGAGGTGCTGGCAACTCCCCACGTGCATGTACTGGGCTTGCTCTTCACCTTCTGTCTCCCGGTGGTAGAAGTAGTTGAAGTTGGAAACAATCACAGGAACAGGCAAAGCAATGGTCAAGACACCAGCGATGGCACAGAGAGACCCCACAATCTTGCCCCCTATGGTCACTGGGTGCATATCGCCATAACCGACTGTGGTCATGGTTACCACTGCCCACCAGAAGGCGTCCGGGATGCTGCTAAAACCCGAAGTGGGGTCATCTGCCTCGGCGAAGTACACTGCACTAGAAAAGAGGATGACTCCAATAAAGAGGAAAAAGATAAGCAAGCCCAGCTCTCGCATGGAAGCCTTCAGCGTCTGCCCCAGGATTTGCAGCCCCTTGGAGTGGCGGGAGAGCTTGAAGATGCGGAAGACCCTCACCAGGCGAATGACCCGCAGGATGGCCAAGGACATAGCCTGCTGTCCATTACCCTGTCGCTCAGCCAGCTCAGTGCCCAGAGTGATGAAATAAGGGATGATAGCCACAATGTCTATCAGGTTCATGATATTTCGAGAAAAGGTGGCTTTGCTGGGGCAGGCGAAGAACCTCACCAGCAGCTCAAAAGAGAACCAGATGATGCACAGCGTCTCCACCACGAAGAAGGGATCGGAGAAGCTGGACGGTCCCGCCGAGGAGCCCGACGTACCATTGCTGGCCACCTCGAACTGGTCCTGTGACGGCGCGGAGGGGTAGTCCTTATCGTCGCGGAACTCGGGCAGCGTCTCCAAGCAGAAAATGACAATGGAGATGAGGATGACGAGCACGGACACGATGGCGATGCCCCGCGCCGGCCCCGAGCTCTCTGGGTACTCGAAGAGCAGCCACACCTGGCGCTGGAAGTCGCGGCGGGGCAGGGGGCGCTCCTCCTCACGCAGGAAGCCCTCGTCCTCGCGGAACTTCTCCATGGCCTCCTCGCCCAGCTGGTAGAAGCGGATCTCCTCCGAGAAGATGTCGATGGGCACGTTGACCGGGCGGCGGATGCGGCCCCCGGACTGATAGTAGTAGAGGATGGCGTCGAAGCTGGGCCGGTTGCGGTCGAAGAAGTACTCGTTGCGGAGCGGGTCGAAGTACCTCATGCGCCGCTTGGGGTCGCCCAGCAGCGTCTCCGGGAACTGGCACAGGGTCTTGAGCTGCGTCTCAAAGCGCAGCCCCGAGATGTTGATCACCACGCGCTCCCCGCAGCAGTCCTGCTCGCCGGCGGCCGGCAGCGCGGGCGCCAGCGGCTCGTAGCGGTCGCAGCCCCCGCCGCCGCCGCCGCCGCCCTCAGGCGGGTCCCCGCCGCCGTCGGCCGCCTCCGGCTCCAGCAGGTGGTCCCCAGGCACCACGGTCATGTCTGGCGGCAGCTCGGAGCCGGTGGCGGGCTCGGGGCGGCAGCTGGGATTCGGCAGGGAGTGGGCGTCGCCGCCGCTGCTCGCAGGCTGCTGGGCTGGGTGGGCGCAGTGGCGGGCGGCGGGCGGCGAGTGCTGGGGGCCAAGGTGCTCGTCCATGCGGCGGGGAAGCGGCAGCTGCGGGGTCGCGGCGCTGCTCCTCGCGCTCCCAGCCCCAGCGCCGCCTCCGCCCCCGAGAGCAGCCCGCCGCCTGTTGCTGTGGCCGCCGCGAGGCTCTGTCTGGTTCTGGCGCGGTCCGCCAGACTCCTCCGAGGCGACGCCTCCTCAGCCCTCCTCCTCCTCCTCGCTCCCCTCGCCTCCACCCCTCCCCCGCGGGCGCGCGCCCGCCCCCTGCGTCCCCTCAGGATTCCCGCCCACCACGCGCGTGCCCCGCGGCCCAGGTGCCGCTGGGCCCTGTCCGCGCCCACCCCCTTGCACCTCTCCGCCTCGGGGAAGCGTCCTCGTTCTGCACCTTGTGGTGCTCTAAGACCCCGTCACCCAGGCCCTCAGGGAATCCAGCTGCCTTTCTTGGGCCTCTTCAGGTCCGCACCCGCCCATGTGGCGGCGTCCCCGCCGGGCCCACACCTCGGCCACGCGAGCGCGGAGCCTCGCAGTCCTCGCGCTCCACCTGGGCGCGCACCGGGAGGCGAGGCCGGAGGCAGAGGGAGGCCCACGAGATGGACAGAGCAGGGATGTGCTTGGGCCCTAGGGACGGTGAGGGAGGCGGGGTGTGCACATTGGAGAAAAGCGCTCTCCTGAGCTCCTTTGAGGGTAGAACACCGCCAGGCGAGGAGGTCTCTGAATAATTTAACTCCCGCTTAAATGAGAAACCAGATTCTGTAATGGGTGCTGATAGGTTCTGCACAGGAATCTGAAGCAAATGAGCTGTTCAAAACTGCAGGGACCTTGCTTCTGGTGTGAATAGTTCACACTAACTTCCTGAGAATTTGTTGTGAATATTCAAGGACACAGTCTCTGGGTGGGATTGATGATAACCTTGTCTTTCTAGGTACAATGAGATTCCCTATCAGCAGGGAAACGAGAGGAAAATCGCGGGGAGGGGGGGCGGGGAGGGGATCTCCAGGTCTATTTTGAGTAGAAGAAGCCTGTTAAACTTCACTTTTAGTGAGCTGTGGGCTGCTAATGAAATCGTTTGATGTCATCAGCCTCCCTGCCAGAAATCTGGCCATATGCTGCCCCCCAAAATCAAACTCTATCATCCAGTCAGTTCCATCTCTTAATGCTACAAGGCATAGTAGAAGTGCCTCATAGGGTTTCCACGGTTGTATTCTTTAGGTAAGCAGATTATCACATCTTTCTTCTAAGAGTGGGTTGGTGGGCTCAAACTGCCCACTTTTTTTTTAGCAGACAAGCAGTTTAATGACAAAGCCACCAGAGTTCCTTCTGGAAAGATTACAGTCTATAAAACCCTATGGAGTTCTACTTATCACATGGGGTTGCTATAAGTGCGAAATCCACTCTATGCACCTAATAGCAAGAATCTATGTGGCTAGAAAGGCTGACTAGAACTAAAATTAAGTCTGGGGAGGTGAGCAGGGGAGGGAGAGCAGGACCTAGACTCTACTTAATGTTCTACCACTCCCTTGAGGTAAGGAATTTTCCATGCTCTAGTTATTAAAATGGAAAACATTCATTCCCCAATCTTACACCTTTGCTGTTGATTTTAGCCCAGACATAATAACTTACCTTTATTCCCTTTGAGCCTAAACAGTTTCTCCAAATTGTGATCTCGTTGAATACAATAACCATTTCCAGACATTTCAGCAACTCTGATTTAGAGCCACCTTTAGGTTTAAAAATGTGTTTTCTATTGTACCATGCATGTCAGTCATTTATGAACGAGGAACTTCGTTGTCTAGACAACTCCCTCACCTCTCAAACATTTGCTGACAATTTGAAGAGTGACTTGTGTTCATATCTTCTCATCCCAGCTCTCAACCATGAGAAATCTCTTGGGCAGAGTCTAAATCTTACCCAATTCATATTCCTAGCAACTACTAGAAGTCCCTGAGAGGTGCAAATGGTTAAGTCCTCAAATACTAGGAGACTTTAGCCATTCAAACCCACCTTCAGCTGCCTCAAAAGACAGACTTAGTGATCTGCTTCCCATAAATTAAAGCCTTGAAAACTTTACAGAGTTATACTGCTCAGCACAAGGGTTTGCCAGGAGTTGAGATCAATTCAGTGGCAACTAAAGATAACAAAGGCAATTACCCAAGTGTTTGGTAAATAGTAAATGTTGCATTGAATTCTCCAATAAGTGGTTCATTTCTTTATGTCCTGAAGTGTAGACAGTTTTTCTTTGTACGCCCAGGAGCTTAGTGGGATCCCTGGTATGAGTAATAGGAAACAGAGCACACAATGCATTACTTAGTTATCCTACAGGGATACCTAACCTTTACAAGTACAGTAACCCTCCATGTTCACCATTGTCCAGACATCTTCCATCTCATCTCCAAGTCAGTGCTGGGTACTACAGGCATCTGCATATGTTGAAATATGATAAAATTAGTTGACCATATTTGAAACTAAAAAAATCTCCAGAACACACACTTTTCATGTGGCTACCACACCGTTATTTCATGTATATTTTTTGCGGCAGGAATTAGAGCACCAGGATTGTCACTGATAAATTCAAATCTAAGAATAAGACAGACTGCCCACTGCAAAGATAGCTAACAGACAAAGACCCTATTTTTATAGACCAGATGTTTAATGCACCTCTATGTCTGACTTGAAGAATGATTAATATTCCTCCTTTTTCAGGAATTAGTGCTGAAATGAATATTAATCAAAAGCAAGGAAGACCAGAGCAGAGGACTGGCCTATGATGGATGGTCACAAGCTTGTCCCAGCTGTGAAGTCTCTCTCCTTCAGAAATGACTATTTTATTTTATTTCATTCCATGTATTTGCCTTTTCTGAAAGACTCTGTTTATGAGCTTCTTAGGGTAGGATTTCCTTTGTATTTGAGGCCCAGAGAAGTATAGTGATTGATTCAAGCTCGCACAGCTAGTTAGTAGAACACCTGAACCTAAAATCTTGGACCATTTCCAAGTCTAGTGTGTGTGCTTCACTGTATCATACTGTGAAACTCTGATCTTGATGACTGAGTGTGTAATAAATGCTAGATTTCTAACAGCAGCCTATTTGCGTCTGATTGCTGACTAGTTCGCTTCAATTCATATTTATTTTCACTGAAAACCACTGCCTTCTGACAGCTAGTATATTGTCTATAGCGAATGAGTTGGTGGACACATTCTAGCTCTGCTGGGCAGCAGATCCCATCACAACAAATCAGCATCAAAAGTGGCACTTCAGGAGGAACACATACCATTTATTGGTATACCCCCAGCTGAGTATTTCAAAGTGATTTGAAAATGTCTCATTAATTCTCATGACACCCCTCTGTGATAATAATAATATTATTATAATGTTTAAGTGTAGAAATTGTGGCAAAGCCAACAGCTTCCTTGAGCATGTGCAGGTTTTCTTCATATTTTAGCCTTCAACACAACAGCCTAAATAGAAACTATCAGATTTGCAGTGTGCAAAGGTAAACCTTGGGGTTTGGGCTTTTTTGGGCTCATTTAGGCTAGCTTAGGTTTCTTACACACCACAATGGTGCTAGAAATAGCTCACCAGTTGCTTGCCAGATGGTAAGCCACATTTGAGATTAGGACAAGGAAGGCAGGCCTATATATCATCACTAATCCACAGAGATAAAGAAGTGAATGGAGAAAGAATACCTACTGTGTACTAACATGACACTATTTTGGGCACTCTGGACAAGTTTAAGTAAGACACCCTTTTTTATTGGTTGAACCCTTTCCAAAAGATTCTGATCTGTGAATGCAACCTCACTTAAGATGGGTGGGCTCTAATCCTATATTACTGGTGTCTTTTAAGAAGAAGAGATTCAGAGAGACAGGCACAGAGGGAAGATGGCCGTGTGAGGATGGAAGCAAAGTTTAGAGTTAGGTTGCCACAAACCTAGGGAATGCTTGGAGTTACCAGAAGCTGGAGGTGGAAAGGAAACATCCTCCCTGAAGATGCAGAGGGGACATAGCATTTATGATTCCTTGATTTCAGACTTGTTGCCTCTGGGATTGTGAGACAATACATTTCTACTGTTTCGAGTCATCCAAATTGGTAGTAATTTGTTATGGCAGCACTGGGAAACTAGCACACTGACTATTGAGTCTTTTCCAGTCAAATTGGTCACCTTGCTTTTTCTGTCATTACAAACTCATTCTTTCTACTGGGACGTCATAGTTGCTCTACCCTCTGCCTGAGACACTCTTACTCTAGATTTTCAATTGTTCCCTCCATCACTTTGTTGTTATTGTGTACCATAGAGTCGTAACCGACCCATAGCTGACCCACTGGTGGGTTTTCAGAAGCATTTAATTGCATGAGAGGAGATTGCCCATCCTTCTCCCACAGAGCAGCTGGTGGCCTCCAACCTCATGCCTTGGGTTTGCAGCACAGCTTTTTCCTACTAGGCCACCAGAGCTCCCTCCATCACTCTAGGTCTCCATCTAAAATGTCACATCCTCAAACCAAAACAACCTACTTTCAAAGTTTCTTCCCCTCTAGCTATTGTTTTAGCTTTTCTTCCTTTGCATCTATTTATGTGAAGTTATTTACATCTACTTGGTTAACTTGCTTATTGACCATGACCTACACTAAAATAAAAAAACTGTGATGGTAGGGTTTTGTCTTTTTATCTATTTATCCCCAAAATCTAGAACAGTGCCTTACTTACTATAGAATTTAATCACTATCTATTGAATTTAGGGAAGAGAAAGCACACATGCAAGTGCAAGACATATTAAAGAACAATGAGGGAGCTGGTTTTGCTCATTTACCCAACCCAACCCTTTGCCATCAGGTCAATTCTGTCACAGAGTGGCTCATAGGACAGAAGAGAACTACCTATGGGACAGGGCTTTCCAAGATCATAAATCTTTAGAGAAGCAGACTCCACTTCCTCCCGTGGAGAGGCTAATGGGTTCAAACCACCAGGATTTTTCTGGGTTAGCAGCCAATGGGTTTAGCCACTGTGCCACTACCACTCTTTTGCTGATATACCAAACTGACTGCTATAGTATTTGATCTGACTCATGATGACCCTCTATTAGGTTCCCGAGGCTGTAAATCCTTACAGGAGGAAGCTTCCTATCTTCTGCAAAGAAGCTGGAGATTTGAACAGTCGGCCTTCTGGTTGGTGAACAGTGTACTGTGTAACACACAACACAATTAGAGCTCTTTTTTTGTTGATATCCCAGAAAAATCCCCCAAAACCAAACCAAAACTCAGAACC